GGGTTTTGTTTTGTTTAGGGGGGGAAAGCAAAAAGTTTTGTTTTGGTTTTTAATTTTTTTAAAGGGCTTTTTTTTTTTTTTTTTTTTTTTTAAACATTACCACCAACTTTGCAAACTCTACCTGATGCTGTAAAATAAACACTACTTCAAAAAAACAATGATTTTCTAAACACAAGTTATTTCAGGTGGTCATTAACCTCGGGATGCTGATGAAGGAGGCGGAGCTTCGCGGTTCTCCTTCCCTCTCCATGATCCTGGTCAACTGGTTCCAGCTGCTTTATGTGGCAGACGCTTTATGGAACGAGGTGAGCTCTGTTACTTTTACTGTACAAAGATATTTGATACTACATGTGTCAAACTTGTCATGATGTGGCGGTGTGTGATGATGATGATGAATTTAATAAAGATGCTCAAACAGTCCAGGTAGCAACTGAAAAAACTGAAGACTGAATACGAGAGCAACCAACACAGGACTTAACAGTTTGACTGTGATGGGGCGCAGACAAACGACAAAAGACTTACGACGGACAATGGACGTAACATTGACGAGGACCCCACGAAGGATAGAGACAACAGGTGGGGTTAAATACATATGGAGGGTAATCAGGTAACTAGACACAGCTGGGGGCAATCATCAGGGAAGACAGGACTCACAGGGAACAGGATCAAAATAAGACAGAGCAACCTAAACTAAACATACAGAGAACTCAGAAAAACCTAAATCCCGACAAAACTCAAGGCCCGCGGGGCCAAATGTGGTCATTTGGAGCCCTCTACACTCCAAATTACATCAATACGTCCATCCAGTTTTTCAACAAATCTGCAAAATGTACACAAAATCTACAAATTCCCAATTTTTTTCTCAAAATTGGCCAAAACCGTTGAGTTTAAGTGACAGCCTTCCTTGATGTCAAATTATAGTCAGTGGCGATTAATAAGAAGTCACATTTAACATCATACATTAAATATTTCTAAATTAGCACCACAAAATCGCAGATTTTGGTTGTTAAAAAACCCACAAAAAGAATCTCAAAATCCTGGATGTGAAGAGACGTTTAATGTTATTTTATTTTAAGAAACACTTACTGGAAGCTGAAACAAGCAGCTATTTGTTTATATCTTAACAGTCGACTTGGTTTTATCAATACATTCTGGTACGACTGGCTCTTTAAGAACATTCAGATTTTTAATGTGGTCCAAAATGAAAATGAGTTTGAAACTCCAGCGTGGAGACTGATTCAACATTTTACTTTAATATGTCTTTTTTGTCTTTGCGTCCATTCTCACCAGGAGGCGGTTCTGACCACAATGGACATTGTGCATGACGGCTTCGGGTTCATGCTGGTGTTTGGCGACCTGGCCTGGGTTCCCTTCACCTACAGCCTGCAGGCTTCCTTCCTGGTTGCTCACCCTCAGAGTCTGTCTTCGCTCACGGCGGTGGCCATAGTTGCCCTGAATGGTGAATGTTGTTTTCATCAGGTTGTGTTTCACGGCACATTTGATGATTTCTTTTTTAAACTTGTGTTTCCGTTTGCCGTCAGGTGCTGGGTATTACATTTTCAGGAAATCCAACTCACAGAAGAACCAGTTCAGGCGAGACCCGACTCACCCCAGCGTTTCAGGTCGTCCGTCATTTCCATTCTTTTCTTTTTTCATCATTCGGCAAAAGCTGTGGAAATCTATTGAGGGAATCCATTTTCTCACGTCATTTGATTTCATGTGTAACAAAGAAACTCCACTCATGCCTGTCAGGACAGGAGAGGAAGAAGCTGAGGTGTGAGTTATTTTTTATTTTTTTGCCTAATCTGCATTCTGCACAACTCCTTACAGGACTGGAGACCATCGCCACAGCAACGGGGAAACGGCTGCTGGTGTCAGGCTGGTGGGGTCTCGTTCGTCATCCTAATTACCTCGGCGACCTCCTTATGGCGCTGGCGTGGTCCCTGCCATGTGGTAAGACCACTTCAGGCTCCCCGCTGCCTTGTTTGACCAACCTCACACAGCCTCAGAGGCTCCTTGGTGTGACTTCAATTGTCAAATTGAAGCTAAAATAGAAAATATATACAAAATCGACCGATAATTCTTTAGTTTCTTCATGTATATTTGTTAAAAAATATCAACTTAAGTGTGAAATATTCAATAATAATCAGTGAAACAGGCTCAGGATTCTCTGTCACTTGTCTGAGTAGTTGTTTCAGAGGTCTAAATCTCACATAGTAAATGAGATTCTATGTGATCATTTTCCCTCCTACATATTTCTTTTGATTTTTTTTTCTTAATTGTTCACATTTTTATGGACTCAGATAACATAAAATAGGCTAAAGGAGCTTAAAACGTACATATTCTGCCACCATCTACAGAAATTCAAGGGCAGATGAGAAAGAAAAAGCCATTGATAAAGACAGTTTTTGGTCCTTCTCTTCTCATTGTGAGATATTTTTTATGAGAACTAAATTACAAAGTTTTTTTATTTATTATTGTTATTATTATTTATTTAAATCCCCGGTCATAGTGTGTGTTAATTACCAGCTGGGTGGAGTTTTAGTCAAGTAGAAAAAAAAAGTTTTATAGTGATGGCCGGATGAGGCCAGTAAAAATCTTTTGGGGGTCACGGCTATATATATATATATATATATATATATATATATATATATATATATATATATATAAATTCTACTATGTAATATAACATAACTTGACTCTGAATTTCAATTTCTATTACATAAGAATGATTCTCTGGAGGCGCTAAGAGGTGGTGAACATTTTTTAAGGCGGGGCCATGGTCCCCCTTCAACCCCCGTTGGAGGACGCCACTGTTTAAGTCGTTCATTATATCCAACAAATCAGGTTGTGTGAATCTATGATATTTAACAAAATGAATTGTGGAAAGAAGCAGCCCTTCCTGCTTGCACAAGCACTATTTAGATACCATTATCTACTTATATTTAACTATTTGGCTTGTTTTTATACAAACTTCATCAACCACATAAGAGAAATCCTGCACGAACAGAGCATGGTGCATTTGTGGGCTTTCTGTTTTTTCTTAGCTTGTTAGATCTGTGCCACTTGGCAGGAATGTTGTTCCACTTTTCCCAATCAAAGTCTTCCTGTCACCAGAGAGACGTTTCCTGCTGACAGCCATGTGATGATGGCGTCCTGACACGTGTCAAGACCCGCTTCAGATACTTTAGTTTCTTTCCGTCACTGTGGTTGATGGTTTCGCTTTGGTTCCTTTTAAATGCATTTTGGGGAAATTTTTTTTTTTTCAATAGAGAAAGAAAACAGGCCAAATAGAATTATGGATTAGTCAATAAATCCCTCTAATCTGCGATGTAAACATCTACGTCTTTTTCGGTGAGCCACCAGGTAAACCACATGACTTATTCTGACAAGGTGACTCTTTGGTTTCAGCTCTTTAATGAATCACAACCTGCTGCGGATGAAACGTTTTACAGTGAGATGTTAGCATGACTCCTCTGAGTAAGGATGACTATAAATCAGCCGTACAGAGATTTTTAATTTTATTTTAAAGTAGTTCCATATAGTACGCACCCTGCATAGTAAACCACAGCAGCACAGATTTCTGTCTGAAAGCCTGCAGATATCTTTACAGATAATATTCAGCAGAGAGGATTGAGCTTTTTCTCACACGAGCCCTTTTGTGTTCCTGACTGTTTTCCCTCATGTAGGTCGTCATGATCCCTATTGTAGGACAGCAGTGCATGTCTAAAACTTGTTTTCATCTCTTTTGATGATGAATGGCATGACTTTAAAGCACCGACTGCCCATGCGCCCCGCGTAGCTGGACATCAAAGCTTCCCAACACCTTCTTCACTGCTTTGAGGTCATTTTTAATATCTGATGTTTTGTATTCAGTCCCTTTCTTATGTGAAAACCCTACAAAACACAGTGTGGGTGAAAGAAGCCGTAGCTGTTTCTGGTGCTGTTTATAGTACAGTCTGCTAGATAGTTTACACATTGATTTATTTATTTATTTATTTTAGCACAATAGCATAATCTCACACAGAAAAGTAAAATATTATCTTAAAAAATATATATATGTATATATTTTTTTTTATAAATTCCACCCTTCACAATCCTGATTAATCTAACTGAAGTATTTTTTGCATAAAAATGTCTAATTAGTAATCCATAACTTCCTTATTGTGGAGATGTACCTATTGGATGACACAGAAGCTTATTCCTCTTTGCCGCTCCACAAAACGTTCTGTCCGAAAGCCCGATCCGCATTCATGGCTCATTCCAGATCAATCTTAAAATCATCAAATTAGATTAATTAAAATGCTACATGCTAAGATACACAACGTCGTAAGTCTCTTAATGACTAATAATTGTCATAATTTATTTCAAACATAATTCAGTAGAAAATTGTGTGTTGGACTCAAGGGACTGTAAGATAGTCATGCCGTCAATGCGCCCTCTGGTGGACATAAAAGGCCAATATTTTTTATTATTATCACGGTTTATGAGATGAACTAAAAGTTTTAGTTCAATAAAAGTTTGGTGAACTTAACATATGAGACGTTGATATTTTTTATTAACATCTAACATGTTAATGGGAAACAATGGTTCTGGTTGCCTATGAAGGCCATCAGAGCCGTGGACTTAAAAAGAACATCTGGAGATTATTGTGCGAAGAATTGTTCTTTATAAAAATCAAGAAAATTGCAGAAAATCTTCTTTATTAGACTTCAGTCAGAGGCTTTTTCAGATTAGCTGTAACAGACTGCTACAGGAGATCCTTTCTTCCTACAGCTCTTAGCATCTACGGCAGCTCCTTGAAGAAAACTGTATGTGTTGCAACAACGTTTAATTTCCGTCTGGGATTAATGAAGTACTTTTGATTTGAATCAACTTGAATTAAATTATACTGAACTGGATTGGATTAAACTGGATTGGGTATAGGGTTTATATGCAACATGCAGGGTCCCGACTCAAAATGTCTGTCCTACCACGTCAAACGTAAAAAATGTGGAGTTTGTTGGCTTAACTGGAACTGTGTGATTTGCTCAGATAAAACCCAATTTTTAAAGTATTATGCCAATAACACTACATGCAGATCTGGAAGAAAAAAAGCCCTAAAACACAGTTAAGTACGACAGCAGACTTATTATGCTGTGGGCCTGTTTCCCTTCCAAATTCTCTCAAAATCAGGTTGCAGTTCATGGCAACACGAAGAGATTTCAAACCCACATCTCTCTCCCTCAGATGTTTTAAGGCCTTATTAACCTCTCACGATATTTTCTGTATTTTTGACCAAACTGTGAGATTTTGACACGACGACACGGCAGAGACTGCATCACTTTTCCTTGAACTATCCCTGAATAGCAGCTGTCAGACTTTTGTTGCGGTTGACGTTTCTCTCTCTACCTCTCATTGAAATTCAGCTTAAAGTGACTCACTGCTGTCGCAGCCTTTGTAACCGAGACGCATTATGCAGTTTCTGTCTTAATTGCTGGTGCAAAATCCCAAACTGAGAAATTCTTCACTTCTAAAAAAAAAAGAAAACATGGCAGCATGTTCCAGACAAAAACTGAGGAAACAATGACAGACAGACAAAGGCTCCAAGTACAGGCTTATAAAGTGACCGTCAGGATGAATCAACACTGAGCTGCAGGCGCATAATCAAACAGCTATTCAGCGCCAGGCTTTTGTGCGATGCAGACGGAAGAGAAAGTGCGCTGCTATTTGCGGAGGGGGGCTGCTCTCTTGATTACAGCTTGTTAAATGTGGTTCACGTCACAAACACTGCTAAGAGAAGGTGTGTGTTTCTCCTCTCCAATCCAACACTGATTAATCCCTCGGGTGACATTTTTAGGCTGCTTTTTAGGTCATTTATGCTTGTTGCTCTTCCGTTTCCCCCCCCTGCAGGCTTCTCTCACCTCTTGCCGTACTTCTACGTGGTTTACTTCACCGTCCTGCTGGTTCACCGGGAGGCCCGGGACGAGAGGCAGTGCAGGGCCAAGTACGGACTCGCGTGGGACGCCTACTGTCGCCGAGTCCCCTACAGGATCTTCCCGTATATTTACTGAAAAAGGACGACATGCTGGATTTTTTTTTTTTTTATACTGGTGCACGACGTCACGTTTACATAGAACCATAATGTCGATTTTAATTCACACAGACTGGAAGTGGAACCTGCTGGTTGAGATCAGTGTTTAAATCAGAACTGGTTTAGAGGTTAGAGAGAACTGTATCGAATTATTTTTTATTCTGATTTTAAAAACCTAAGACTGTAAACATCTACTTTTTTTTTACATGTGAAAATGATTTCTGCCGAGATGAAACAAGAAACAAACTGTAAATTGTCTTTTTATTAAAATGAAGTCACAACCTTTACATTACTGTGTCCATTTGGTGAAGTTTAATATAAATAAATTCATCGAATTGGGTTTCTTATTTGTTGCAACTTTTTAAATTGAGTTAGCATTTAACATTTATTTTCTAAAAACATTTTAAACCATTGAAACCTTTCTATGTTATGCTATTTGACAAGTATTTTATTGGGGTTTTAGGTAACAAAAAGTAATGTTATTGTGAGGTGGATGATTTCTAAATATTTTTAAACGTTAAAAAAACTGAAAAGTGTGGTATGCATTTAAATAAACAAAAAATTATTGCCTTTAAAGTTACCTTTGATTAGCAAACAAACAAATCTGTTGAGAAACCAAAACCTGGCATCTCTAGAAGATCCTCAAGGAGGAAAGTCTTTTTCATTTGCAGTTCATCTGAAAGCGTTTCTTTAGATGACATGTCAGGGAGGCATGCTGAAGAAGGTGCTTCTTCCCATCCAGAAACATGGCGGCGCCATCGTGCATCTTGACGCTGCTGTTGCCACCGTGTTCGATCTACAATTAGGATCAAATCCTATTTGTGTTCGGAAGGTCCAGATTGAATCCAACTGAGAATCTGTGGTGAAACGTAAAACATTGATGCTCACAAAACCCTTCCATCCAATCTGACTGAGCTGGAGTTATTTTTGCACAGCATGGGCGCCAATTTCAGTCTCTGGAAACCGACAACCACAGGACCGGCAGCTGCAGCCCGCGGCGAAAGATGATTCTACACAGTACCGACTCAGGTGGGCCGGATGCAGACGCTGGCATCGCTTTTCTTTCCCTTACGACGATTACAGTGTCAGTTGCTTTGACCTGGTCTGTCGCACAAAAACTATGAAACACGAAGTTGTGTAGCTGATGAACTGCGGCGGGTAGCCGTCACGGTGTCTTCATTTAAACTGAACGTGACAAGTGAGCAAAAATCGGCTGTGAATCATTTAACCTCTTCCTGGGAACCTGCTGCAGTTAAAACGCTGCTCGTTTCCAAACAGCCGCCTCCATGAAACGGGGCGAGGGGGGGGGATTTAAAATCCATGACTTGTTGCCATGACCTCTGGTCTGACTCGTGCTGCACGTTGTCTGCTATCGTTGACCATGACTTTTTTTTGTCTCCAAACAAATTAAAAACCTGTTTCTGACAGCAGTGTTATATAAAAATGCGTGCCTCTTTTCCATTGTGATTCACCTCACGTTTATCCTGCAGATGATGTCTCTCCCCGTATGAGGTCAGAGGTGTGCACTCAGACGACAGAGCGCTCTCCATTTGTCACCTTTTCTGGCCTTTATGCAGCGCAGCTGGCCTCCGGCCTCACCCACACGCTGTTTTCTGTTGTTTTTCATATGCAAAGTGTTAATTATATGCTTGTGCAATGACAGGATTGTGTGCAGGATTTCCTACACGTGTCCGTGCATTTGTACACTTCTTTTGTCACTTTTATTTCAGGATTAAACTATAATTGTACGATAGAGATTTATATTACTGGTTTTTGTTGGACGTCAGACTGAAATCAGAAATTAAATAAGCAGGAGGAAAAACCTTTTTACCTAAAAGCGTTATTTGTAAGATACGTGATCTAATTCAATTTTGGGGAAGCAGGCCCTGTCTGACTGAAACATCGCAAGCAGTTGGACAGAATCTTTTTACGTCTCGAATTAAACCCTGAGCTGAAAGCGAAATCTGCGGTTAGTTGAGATGAATGTGATGGATATTAATACAAATGAGGCGAGAGCTGACAGTCAGAGTGAGTCACAGTCGCGTCTCCGTCTGGACAGACGATCCACGGTCCACATAAAAACATAAGTGTGAACAGGTTTGACACATTCTTGGACCCAAACGCTTTGCTAACACAACACTTCCACTTCTACGTCCGTCTGAAGGCTTGCAAGGGAAACGGAAAGAATAGAAAAGCAGATTATAACAGAAATGGATAAGTACGTCTGTCAGAATTCCTACGCTTGCTAAAGAATTCATACACAGTTGTACTTTTCCACGTTTTGCCACATTCCCGTCACTCACTTCAGTTTGTTTTATTTATTTATGGGATTTATTACCGACACAAAGCAGAGGGTAAGTCTGTAGCCGATCTTGTTAACTCTGAAACCTGCATTTTTTTTCCTGCACAATGACGTTTTTGAGTGTTTTGGGGTGATGTGTTTATGCTGGATGCACATATATCCAGTGTGGAAAATATACATAATACACTTTCTACAGCATTTACACTCTTGGCCGTTGCCTTCCTTTCCACTCCGCTTGATTCTCATCTTCTGTCTCTGCTCCATCTTCACTTTCTCCAATTACAGTGGATTGCTCCGGTAGAATTTTCGTCTGGACCAATCGGTGAACAGAACGAGAAGTTGTGAATGACGTCAGTTTTAGATTTGTGGTCTGCCTGTAGTTTTAGGAGATTGTGAACGAAGCCATTCAGTCGACCACACTTCCACACATTGACTTAAAGTTGATCACTGCTTCGTTCAGCTTGGCAGCTTATCTCTTCGCAGCGGAGAGATGGTTGTTTACATTTCAGGCTATTATGGTAAGCTTCATAGCATCGAACTGCCTCTTTACGTAGCTGACAGCCAAACGTTAACGATTGGGTAAAATTTTAAATTCCAATAGAGTCTAAAGGCTCCGAAACTGAACAATTAATTAGATTTTAAGAACTATTGATTAAATTATGTGTGTGTGGCACAATTCTTAGGTAGGTCTTACTGATGAGACATAATTAAATTCTGCTTAGCAATTTTGATCTGATAGCATATATATCAATCGCTTAAAATCCTACCTATATTAAAGCCTCTGAAAACATTTCATAAGGTACGAATACGTTTGTAAATAGTCTGTTTTAATATTTGGCAGGAATGTTTGGCTGCAGACAAAATATGACAAAGCCCTTTAGCATATTCCCCTTTTTAATTAAACACACCGAATTACAGAAATTGGATTTCTTTTCATGGTCTCCTTGTCAGTTAATGTGCTGGTAATCTTCCACTAAAATATGAAACTCTCTCCGCATATTTAAACATAAATTTCACATGTAAGGCGCTTTGCGGTTTTCCTAACCCATACAGTCGCAATAACATGCAGCCTGGAGTGTCTTGCATAATAATGAATGAGCACAATAATTGCCAGTGTGTGTGTGTTTGTGTACGTGTTTGTCAGCGAGCACGCATCTCTGTGCGCGTGTGCGAGCCGGCCGATTGTGTATGCCAATCCTGACGTTTCAAGCCCATCAGTTGTGGCCAGTTTCCATGGTTACATCTCTCGGGGAGAGCACAGACGTGGGAGAGAGGGGAAAGGAGTTGAGACAATTATTGTGGTGGAGGGTGCTGTGAAAGGAAGAGCCCAGAATGATGGGAGTGCAGGAGTGTGAACCGTGGGCTGAGACAGAGTAGAAAAGATGTTTTTTTTGTGTGTGTGTGCGTGTGTGTTAGCTCCTGTCTGCGGCCGCTAACACTCGCCGGGCTTCAGGTTGTCATGGCTGCTTACCTGAGTCCGAGATATTTATGTCCCGGTAAAAGGTTTTTGAGCAGAAAAGCCGCGCCGCGGGGCATCTGCACCACTTTGACTTGAATATTTTTGCTTTGAGTGAGACCCTCGATGTGAGTCAACAGGAATTTCTAGTACAATTTGGTTTCCATGGTGACAGCGGGGAGCGATATGTCCTCTTCAAACAGAGGAAAAAACACCAGCTTGAAACCTTGTTTTCTGTCTGAGTCATTATTTAGACTATTGATATACCGCAGGACCTTACAGACGCCAGAACAAGTCCCTGGCTTGTTTTTGACAAACACCATTTGTACATGTGACCAGTAGGTGTTTTTCAGGATCATAAATCTTAGCAGGTCAGATTTTTATAAGAACTTTTCTAGATGAGAGCTAGTGATGCTCCCAGAACATACTTTAATATGTTCTCACCATTTCAAATCAATTGAAGTTTATTTTGCAATATGTAAACAATGAACTGAAAATGTTTTATCAAAAAATAAGTAAAGTTTGGTTTAGATATCTAAAAGACAAAAGGTAGCGCTTTATTACTCCTTTCCTACAAGTCATTAGGAATATTAATGAAATAATATTGAACAGGCGCCACACAGAAAAATTATCTTCCTCCTGCAGAAAACATGCTTTCAACATTTCCAGATAACTGAACGTCTGACCCATTACAGCAGGACATTTACTTTGTTGAAAATTAGTTACCAGCATCAGTCATCAGCAATGACTGATGACTGCCATTAAAATACAGTCATCAAATACAGACTGATGACTGTATTTGTAATGACATTGCAAACACAGTCATCAAAACACAAATACTAGCGCACGTTGCAATACTTCTCTGTGCAAGCCTTGCAATGCCAGCCCAAAGATAGCTAGTGCTGCTAATGCCAGCCTAAAGCTAGCTAGTGCTGCCAGTGCCAGCCTAATGCTAGTTATCACCAATTAGCTGTTGAATTAGGTCAGTCACTTTAAAGGGAGTGGATATTTATGCAGTCACCTGAAGAAATCAGTTTTCACTTTGACACTAAATGGGTTATTCTTGTAATTTGTCAAAAAAAAATGTTTATCATAATTGATTTGTAAGATCAAAAATGTTTTAGATACAGTTTTATTTTGGCTAAGTTTAGCATCGTTAGTCTTTGGGTGTTTTTACTTAAGGTTACTTCCTGATAGCTAAAACCTTTTACCACGACTCTTTGTGATGTTCTTCGGTGATGCCTGTGTAAAGCCACTGCTGTATCTCTGTCCCTGTAAACCTCTAATGTATCTGGTTCTCATGTTAGTATTCCGGAGACATTAGCAGGAAGCTCTAACCTGCTTTCTGCCTCTGAAGTGGAAGCTCTTGCCGTCTCAGTGGGGGCTGCTCTCAGTTATTCTCGTACTCTTCAAGACGCGCCTAAATGTCTCTGCAGCCACTTCTAAATGCAGCTGTTGGCTTAGGCAGCTTTCAGCGAGGCGTTCTGTCCTCTATCATCGTCTAATTTACCACTCTGTTTCCTCACGAATTCCCCCTCTACAAGCTTGGGGAGCTATTTTTTTATTTATTTATTTATTTCTTTTCTCCTCGAGCGTACCAACCAGTGGCTTTGACCTTCCTCACCCTGCTGACCTCCAGCACCAAAGAAGAAACTTGGAAGCAACTTTTGGCATAACTGTTTTATTGGGATATGGCGTGTAAATAGATGCACATCATATTGTAACCGAATAGATATAAAGTGGTTCACCAAATCGACTTTAGCATTATAATGAGGAATGTATAAAAGACGGATACGATACAGAATTCAGTAAGTTCAATTTTCTAAAATGCTTTATTTAGAGCGACTACATGATAACGTTCCAGCAGGAGGCGTTATGTCTTCCTCTGTCGGCGAGTTCCTGTGCTTCAGTAGTGATTGTCCAGACTCCACACATTCACACAGTTGGCGGAACAATGAGGTCTCGGTGTCCTGTGATTATCTGCGAACGTCTCTTGGCACGACATATTGCTCGTCTTCCAAAACACTGGCAGCCTATGAAAGTTGCTTCAGTGATTGAAAGTGAAATCACACAACCTATGTGAGATTTTCTCCTATAGACGGCATGTCTCGGCAAAGCGTCTTGGAGAAGCGTTGCTTCGTTTCTGCAGTCAATAATATATCTTACTATAACAATGTTTGGCTTTATGGCATTTTATTGGGAGAGAAATTAAAACAAATAAGTAAATTAAAAGTGTCCTGGTCAAGATTTCTTTGTCCCTGACACTGGTTTGATGAAGCATATTCCAGTTCAGTACCACATTCAGGTAGCTAAAGGTTGTACATTTTAGTTCTTCTTCTTTGGAGTTCAGATTATTACGCCTTTAATCGATTTGGGAAAGCTAGAGAACTTGTGCAGATGTAAGACTGTCATCATCCACAATGAGATGAGTTTAATTTATCGACATGGGCTGAAAGGAAGAAGAATCCATTACACAACAAAAAAGGTCAAATTACGACGTGCAAAATGCACTCAGGGACAAAGGTCCTAAGACTGCAGAGACGTCCTGTGGTGTGATGAAAACGAAATGTTTTGCCATGATTGATTATTGCTATTGATTTCTTCTTTCTTTGCTGCTGTTGTACAGAAATCCTCCTCCATTGTGGGACAACAAAGGATTTTTCTATCCTATTCTACTGAACATTGTTACATTTGTTGTGTGTCTGTATTCCTGCTGCGGGAGGGACTGGTGCGCTTTACAAAGAGGAAGTTAATGTTTTGGTGGCCTTCAGAAAGCCGTGATCTAAAAACATTGTTGGCAGGACAGAAAAGATTTGTGTGAGCAAAGCGACCGACAGCAAGCTGCTGTAGAAAATGTTTGACCCAATTCATAACATTTAAAAACTGATTTCCCCAAAACTGATAATATACATGACATTTTCTGAATTGTAACATTTTTAAAAAACTGTAGAAAAAATGTTCCCATGACTTTTGGAGGTTTGCGCAGAAGTATTTAGTTTTTCACACTTTTCCAACGTGGGTCTAGCTGACGATGTAAACACAAAGCTTACTGAAAAAGTTGTTTTTCACATTTTTTTGCTTTGAATTTATCGTATTGCCATTGTGTTTGAGCTTATGATGAGCTCCCTGGCACACAGTGCAGGTCAGGTGACATGCAGGAAGACCCAATACAGTCTCTTTGTCATGGTAAGGAAACGGGCTAATACGGAAAACTCAGGGTCACAAAAATCTTAAAATTGGTCATGTGGGCTTGCTAGCTAAATCAAAGTGTGTCATAAAATCCCTGACAGCCCACAACGAACAAGCATCAGATGTTTAGTATCTAAACATCTAGATACTAAAAATATCTAAATGGCAATTTGTGAAGTTTAGGTTTAAAAAGTCTGACTAAATGAGAAACGTCTTTCATAGGCTGCTGTCACGACGTCTCAGCTCAAACATTTCTGCCCAATCACACGCACAAACGGACCAAAGTCTCATCGAAGGCAAGCATCGCCATGGAAACCGTTTTGCTGCTTCGCTTCTCACACCCGTCCGCTCTACAGCTGAAACGGCACCATGGTGACTTCGCTGCGTTTTTACACTTCCTCGATAACGAAAACGTCGCCATCGAGTCATTAATGTCTCATCCTGACGCCCGAGCCTCACTCACCGGCATTATAAACACTGAATAACTGATATGTCTCATGGATCGTACGACGTTGCTATTTTGCGTGTTTTTAATTGCTTTTTATACATGAGATCCCTACTCTACCTTGGATCAGAGAAAAGTTTTGAAAACCGCTCGCTAAAAATGACTATAGGATAGATGCAGATGAGTGAGAGTAAACTTCACTGGGAACAGGAATAAGGCGCTCTCTGCACACTAAAAGTACAACAGATTTTTTTTTTCTACATTGCTTTTCTTCATTTAAAAAAAATAAACAAAGACAAAAACCGGGTGCCAGATGTGTTAAAGGCACAGTTCTGATTTTCGGGAAGCGAAGTTATTCTCATCTCTGCGTATGTAAGCATTCTGCAGAAACGAGTCTGGAAATTTCAGATCTTCATGTGGAAAAAAAAAATCAGAAGTATCCCTTTAAATGCACAAAACGTGATTCATTCTTAAATTTGGCACAAGGTTTGTTTTGCTTTTACTATAAACTTTTGGCATTATTACTCTTTTCAAAAGCATGAACCTATGAAGCAATAAATATATGTCTTTACAGCTACAGACATAGCATGAAAACCCTTAAAGTCAAATTTATGATGAGCAAACCCAGCGACACGGGAAAATGTGGACACAGGCATAAAAGCTGAATCCAGTCCGTGCCAACGCATGTTTGCTCACAGATTTGCACAAACGCAGCTTCCTGTCAGCGGCTCTCTAACGTCCTTCTGTGAAACTGGGTTTGATTTGTACCTGGATGTCATTTTCCTTGTCGTGTTCAACTTTTCTTTTTTTTGTCAGAGCTTGACGAACCTTGTCGGTGTTCTGTGTTTCTTCCGGCAGCGAAGACGCGAAATGCGACTGCGACGCGGTTAAGGCGACCGCTCGACGTAACCCGCGCTTTAAACACGACGACTGATGTCAAAACAATCCTGAACGCTTTGGAAGTCAAAGGTTACAGACGTGTTTGTTTCTTTTCCGGCCCCTAAGCGTTTGGAGGTTCACAGTGAGTTGAGCGACCGGATCGGTAAGAGCAGCACGGGGAAATCCAGCCCTTCAGAAATATCGGTGAATTGTGTATCGTGGTCAAAGGCATCTCAAACATCCGACATCCTCTTTTTTTTTCTTTTGCTTCTTTTCAGTCTTTCAGAGCTGCTTTTTTTTTCCTCTCTTTTCTTCAGGCTTTCTGAGAGCGGTATCTGGGATGAAGGGTTTAAACAAGATCCTAAGTAACACCGTTTTACACTCACATTCAGTCAGATCAGTCTTAGGCCAAAAGAGTCAGAAAATATGAAAAGAAGAAGATTTTGCCTCCGTCGGTTTTGGATATCTTACAGCTCCTTCCAGTTAGATCTTCACAGCACTTGTTAGAAGCTCACCAAGGCGTAGACCATACTGAGGAGGGAAATTGGGCAAAAGTTAACAAAATGTCTGTGTCACAACAAGAGGCATCACTGATCTCTAACTAGTGCAACAAAGTGATGGGAAAACACAAATACGTGCATGGAAATGTCTCGGAAATGTTCCAAACGGCAAACCTTTAGTGGGAATTTATTGGAAATATTTAGAAGTTCTGGGGTAAACTCTGATAGTAAACATCCAAACATAAATCTAAGTCTTTTGTTTTTCTCTCACTGGCAAATATCCACGTGACAAAATACAATTAAAAATACTTCTTGAAGAACAGATTTGTGGTTTCTTTTAGATGAATTATTTTTATTTTGCTAGAAATAAAAAAAAGTGACTTTCATGTGACAAGTCCATCTGTTCAAAAAATGAGGTAATATGAGTTTAATTAAAAAAATAAAGGGAAAAAAATCTCTTTTCTATCAAAAACAATTTGAAAACAGACACCAAACATGATTTGTACATTTGACTACTTCAAATTAATTCTAAATAAACATCGAAACTGAATAAAATACAGTTTTGACTAAGAAAAAAGATATTTACTCCCACTTAAAATCACTAGTGGGAAGTTGAGCTCAAAGAAGTCATTGAAAACCTGAACGTTTTCTGGATGTCCTCATTAACCAACCTCTGGGACGACCACGTCTCTCCTCACCTGTACAAGTAGTAGAAGAAAGAGAGCAGGTAGAAGCCCAGCTTGCACCAGGACTCCTTCTGGCAGTAGTTGAGGATGTCGGCGTTCATCACGCTGACCGGATCGTACATCACTTCCGATCCGTCGGCCGGCCGATGAAAGAACCTGAAAAGAGCAGCGGGGGGAAGTTTGGCCGGACGGCACGACACACAGCGACGGGACAGCTGCTGTGGGACCGTACCTCCACAGATGGTAGAAGAGCAGCGGGATATTGAGGCCAAGTGTGACCCACTCTCCGGCGCACATGAACATCAGGCAGAAGAGGCCGTGGATGGAGTACTCTGGTACCACCAACTGGTTGGGACAGACATAAGGACGAGGACTGGGTTAAACATCGCCAGGATGGATGCTGCAGCGCCGAGTAAACTCAGACCTTCAGAGCGGAGGCGTCACCGTTACACACTGCTGCTGAACGGGAAGAAGTAGCTCCAGAGGTATTTAGACTGTTTTATTTGTTTCTAGGCTTTACACTGATTTAAAAGCTGCCAGCTTTCCTCCAACAAATCAGTAGTTTAGTCCCATCGTATGAAAGCGAGTTTTTTTTTGTCTGTTCAGTAAGCAGCATCCTGAGCCTCCAGACTCCTGCTCAACAGTCTAAATGCAGAACAGCTGCAATTATTTTCTACTTTTTTGTCCTTTCTATTATCTGTTTAATGGTTTTTCAAACAATTTCAGCATAATTTTAAAGTCTTGCCTCGGATTTGAATCGAGAAATGGACTTGGACTAGACCATTCTATCAGATTGATCTGAACCATTCCATTATAGCTCTGCTACTGGGTCTGCAGTCTGCGGGTCCAGAGCTGCCAGTGGCTCTTCGGATCCTTCACTATGTGTCTGAGTGACTTTGTTAAAAATTACAAAACACAAACTGAAGTTTTTAAATATAGGTGTAATAACAAAAGTCAGTCTTAGCTGCTTTGAAACCTTTTTGTGGAATAATTGCATTGAATTTCCACAGCAGAATGACACTGGAAGTGTCATTTATATTTTTAAGATCTACTTTTTCTTGTCTCTGTGTTGGAAATCCCACCAGTGTCTACTACAGATATTTTATTTTCCAGTATTTTGATTGTAACTACATATTTAATTTGCAAACATTTTTTATTGTTTTGGAACTGACATTCATTAATATGTGAATAACTTTATAATATGACTGACATTTGAATTTATTCCAGTTTTATTGTATTTACTTATGGATGTTCTCTTTTTCTTTCTTTTACAAATGTGGTGAAAATATGTCGAAAGATGAAGCCACAGTTTTTTCCCTAATGACTAAATAATAAATTACTGCTGTTCATTTTTCCCTCTGAGACTTTTCAATAGGCACTACAACTTTATCTGCTTTTGTTCTGCGTTTTTTATAAATGTCAACATCCCATGAAAGAAAGTGGAGTTTTTTCTTTTTCAGAGCCTAAAAACAAAACACATTTAAAACGGTTGTTCTTTCAAAATAACAAACTTCTTATAGTAGACTCTTTATTTTGTTTTTTTAATTTAAGCTGCCGTTTTTCAAAAGTTCATGTAATATTTGTGGCTCTAAACAGGGTTTCTGTAGCTTCATGCATGATGCTGCCACCACCGTGTTTCAGGGCTTTTTCCACAACACATAATACAGTTTCACTTCTTTCATTTACAGCTTAGAAATATACGTTAGAGTCGACGGTGTGAGTCCCTTCATCCAACTCAAATGAATCAGAATCTTACCCTGTTTCTACATCCTGAACTTCCTACTCAGGCATTTTCAAAGGAGCATAAAGAGCAACAGGAGCTTTCAGAGACTCTTGAGTTTATTTTTCGCTAAAAGCTTCGAAAGGAAAAAAAGAAAACTCCACGGATAAAAACCTTGATGGCATGTCCATCAACGCCTGTCTGCAGGACAGGAATATATGTGAATCAGTGTGTGTGTGTGTGTGTGCGTGTGCAAAAGAGACAAATGGTGTTGGTTGTCTGAAGCCCCTCTGCCTTAGTCATCCGCTTCCCTCCACCCCGTCCAAAAGGTGAGAATCATCTGTTACTCACTCTGCGGAGCAGGTTGCAGATCCGCTCGATGTTTAAGATCCTTTCTCTCTAAAAAGGAGGACAGAGAGAGAGAGAACGCCGCCTGTCAATAGTCTGCAAAATACAAGATGTTCCTACAAAACAAAAACAGTCACATAATGAAAGAACAAATACATCTTCATCCGTTAGAGAGCTGGAAATGATATTAATGTTGGTAATTATTAACTAAAACACCAACAATCGCTTGATTTTGTATTTTTTTTAATTAGTTTTCAAAAAGCTTGGATTGATTACACTCATAAACCCGTCTACCTTTAATGGACTGCGATGTTTTGGACTGCTAACAACCCTCCTGCGAGCGATAACTCGACGCCTAGCTCTGATATGAACGCCGTCCGTCTTTCACAGCATCGATCAGACACTATCTGCATGTCACTCATTGGGTTGTTCACTAATAAGCCATCGTGGGGAAATTATGTGTTTAATAGAGCAGCGAAGCTAAAATATCATTAGTCCTGTCATTAGCAGATGGCTCATCCATTTTATTATTTCTTTTCGGTGAGGCAAAGTTACATCAAACAAGAAACATTGGTTAATCAGCAAGTCTAATTCCCTTTTATTTATGAGTCCTTTTTTTAAAGCTTCTGTCTCGGGTCGAGGCCCCTTGATGTCTGCTCCCTTTAGTCGATTTTTTTTCCGAAAATGTGGACATAAATGGAGAATCCCCTGCTGACCTGAGAGTAAATTCTGCCCTGAATCCTCAGCCAGCTATCAACTATTCAGCTTCAGCACAGTTAGCTCGGTCTGTCTGACTCCCTCCGTCTTTTTCAAGCTTCGTGCCCCACATCCGTCAACGGCGCAGCGATGCGGTTCAACATGTGAATGCGATAAACCGAATGTTATCTGGTTTGGAGTTGGAGTTGTCCATCGTTGTGCTACTCTGTCTTTATCGCCTGTAGCTTCCCCGAGGATCTGTGTCCGGTCATCCAGGCTCAGTGGGACCGAATCAACCCAACGGGGGACATTTATCAGAGGCGGTCGAGAAATTACACAAAACAAAAGAGAGCGAAAACGAGGAAGCGATTACAAAATGTAATTTGTACCTGCTGCTTTGAATAATGAAACACTTTGACGCATTTAAATCATATTGATACAAATAATTATTCTGCAGCCATATATATATATAAAAAACACATCCTGGTCCACCGCTAAGGCATAACAAGATTTCATGCGTTGAGATTGAGATTAAAAAGCCGTGATTTTTCTCGATAAAGTCGTGTCTGTTTCTCAAAGTAACAACGCATTTTCTGTAATATAAAGTCGGATCTTATGAGTTTCCCAGTTGGAAATACAAAATTGATTAAAAAAAAATAATGAAGCTGGAAGTCCTCGTATCCGGAGTGGCAAAGGAATATCACGAAAGTTGAACGATTCAACTATTTATCGGGAAATCTAACCGTTTCTTTCTTGTTAAGCTACTTTTTAAATCCACAAAATGGAAGAGAAAAGTTTGCTAGTGGCTTGTATTGTTAATAGCAGCACCAAAAAATGTACAAATCTAGAAGTTTCTCTGACACCTAAAACGCGGTTGAGTTGGGTTTTGTCACTAGAGGTCTGATTTCTGGGGCAGCCATGTTGTGTCTGTGTTGGAGTCTCTTATTTTGAAGTAAGACAGGAATTAGTAGGTTAGTTGTTGAACTAAAGAGTTGTTTAATGAGGAATGTTCGCTGTGCTAGATGAGATTAGTATTAGATGAATGCTTACTAAACGTTTGAACTCGATGATATAAAGGGGATTTTAGCTGAGGTATAAAAATCATTGAAAGGATTGACTGTGTTTACAAGACTCCAACTGTGAATATTAGCTACAAACACAAATCCAAACTGGAAACGCACGTTTCAACACTGCCATGTTGTCTGTATGTAATCAAATGTTCACTGCCTCTGTCGTTTTTGTACACAACCCAGGCCGCGCAAACGGCGGCTTCTCTTGACTTAAATCCGAAACCAACGCTGCGCATTTCCATCCAGTTCCTCTTCTGTTTGTCCAGTTGATTTGTATTTTTGGGGAGAAGCTGCACATCAGCTTTTAGATGCATGACGTGTTCGAGTTGTCGTCTTACAGTGTGTGTGTGTGTGGCAATGCCACTCAGTCATGCAGCTTTGACGCAACGAGCTTTCAGCGTTGAAAAATGGCTTCCACTTTTTTTCAGAGACTGTTATGGATTTTACAGGTGGTGCAGCTTTTGTGTCCACTTCCTGTGGCTGGCGTGCCTCCACACACCCACGGCCTGGTTTCACAGTTTCCTCTCCCGCTCCTCATCGCTCCCTCACTTTCAGATGAAGGTTCACATGACTGCTAGAACATTAGCTATCCTGTGAAAAAGATGCTCACAGCTGCTCCTCAGTTGCTAAGTGAATGATAACACTTTCTTCTGACTCATGATAGCGCTGTTAGCTTAAGCAAGGAGAGGAATTACTGATACAGATGAGGTTTTATGTGGCTTGTGGGACGGTAAAATATATTTATATTGTTGTACGCCATTGTGTTTTATGTGATAGATAGCAGCACTAAATTTCAAGATTAAAGAAAGACTCCTTGCAAATGCAAATTCGAAAAGTGTCGAGGATTTGTATTCGACACAGCTGAGTCAAAACTTTCACTCCACCAGCTTTTCACCAGGAGAAACATTTTTACTTGTGATTCTTTATGAAATTGCTCAACCTGTGTCAGATCTGAGGACCAAACGGCTGCTACTTGATTAGTACGAGAGTAAACTGAGTCATATGCCAATTTCATTTATCGCATCGTTTATCATTTACTGTGATAACGATTTTGATTTATCGTTATCACGTTAAATTCCAAATAATTACCTTTAAAGAACCCTAAACCCATCCGTATTGTTGTGATTGTTATTTTTAGTATTTTTATCGACTGGTAGCTCAGTAAGAGCTTCAATAATAATAGGATTAAATGCAGTTACTCTGTGTAGTTTGGTGACATAAATCACTTCTTTATGTGACTTAAGAAGCATATTATAAATGGGTAAGTTTTTCAAGAGCAGTATTTGTGTTTGTGGGGCTTTGACTGTTGTTTCTTAAAGCCACAGAAATCCA